AGAGATCACTAATTCAATATAATATTTGTTAAAGCTAAAATATGAAGTACTCAATAAGAGCTATCAATAAGCAGGCGGATATATTAGGAAAGACATGATAGCTGGAGACACAGTTCTTAGAGGTCCCAGCATATTAGGTGGCATTTGAAACTATGGTGGCCCATGGCACCAAGCACAGAATGTGTACAGAATAAGGAAACACTGTATGTCATAATAGGCCTTAAAGGGCCATCAATATTTTATGTGAAGGTAAAGAAACAGCAGTCTATGGAGAAGAAAGATATAGAATCTCACAGATGTTAGGCAGAGTAAGGAAGTAATAATGCCCATGAAACCAAGGGAGAAAATAATGTAAATGAGGAATATCAACAACATAAAATGACATGATAGACTAAGTAAGGAAAAGAACAGGACGTATTACTAGAACATCAGCAATAATTTGAGATAACTCAAAAATAAAAGAATATTTGAGATACAATCATTTCACCACTATTTTCATTTTATGTTATTCTTCAGTAAATAGTGGGATTTGTATAATGTAATTTGTCTTAAACTGAATTTCATGGGTTCTTATTTATAATTGTACCAAAATTCCCTTATAACAATTATAATCTTGCCTAACATAGTTACAATACTACCTGGTTATGAATAACTAGTTTCAATTTTACATTTGGCTAAAAATGCATGAAGGCAGTTTACATTTTATATGGCCAAGGTTTATATAGTATAACACAAATACCAACATTATACAGGCTCACATTTTTTACTCTACAAATAAAATTTCTTTCTGGCCTTAAATGTAATACTCTATATTATATTGGAATTTTTGTTTTATTCTTTTTGAAAGTCTCAGAATAAATTCTCAACTAATTCAAATGCAATCCATTTCATTTACAGGATGATTGGATGACTTGATTTAGCATTATATGAGATGAAAATATAAGAGAAGGTCACTTGGGTTTCAAGTAATTAATAATTAGAATTTTTTATATTTTACAGCAGTTCCTTTATATTACTGGACGGCTGATCTAAGAAAATTATATATTTTACAAATCTCTTACATTATGATTTATTTTTATATTTTTTAATAATTGAAATCTAATAGGAAAAATCATAAATATGTGTACTCAAATCACAATCTTGAAACTTGAATTTTTTTTGACATTTTTCCCACATTTCCTAATATTTCACAATTAGAGAAAGTGCTAAATACCTTCATGCTGTATGAAATATGAGCAGAATATAACAAGATGAAATCTAATATAAGATAATATATATAGGTTATAATTATCTAATTAAGGATGTTGGTGATGCATTGTTCATTACAGCACATATGACATTTTCTCTGATTTCATTTGACAATATACTCAACAGAAGTAAAAATACAGTGATGTCGTTAACAAAAAATGCAACCTTGAGCTATATATCATGAGTATGTAGACTGGGACAAATGTCACTGTGCTTTATTTTGTGCTGTTAAAACGATACCTTGAGAATGATATTTACTTTTTGATACAGTAATATTGGGGTTTAGGGGTTTAGGGTGCCCTTAGCTTTCCTGAGAGGATGTTTCTCCAGGTTCTTGGTTTTCTGCTCTCTCAAGAATGAGAGAGGGGACCACGGTACAGAGCACAGTAAATGATGGACTTAAAAGTGTTGGTAGAAAGTGATTTATTTTGAGAGAGAGAGAGAGAGAGAAACAGGAGAAGGAGAGATAAAGAAACAGCTAACCCTTATACTGAGAGAATCCAGAAAGATGGAATTCAGGAGAGGAAAGCAGCTTCCATATTGAGTGGAAGAGAATAGGGAGAAAGATGAGTTTAGGAGGGAAAGACAGGCTTCCACGAGAGTGTGGAAGTGGACTCCAGAGGGAAAATCCAGGAGAGAGAAAAACAGCTTCCACGAAGGGAGTGTTTGTGGAAGGGGATTTAAACATGGAGTCTGAAGGGGTGTGGAAGAAGGGGAATTTTAATCCGGGAGGAACCCCCACCTTCTTTAAGACTCCAGGCCAATGAAAGGAGTCCCTTAGAACTTTCACTGGAGTGATTGACTTTGTTTCTTCCCACATCCATGAAATTCAAATATAAACCGTTAAATATCCTGGATGGAGAGGGATAGGAGGGGGGCATGGTGCTGGGAAGTTCATGCCCTTAAAACTGTGCCCCCTTGTGGACCTGGAAAGAGAATACATTCCCTCATTCCCCCCCTCTGAACAGGAAAGTTCAACTTTTGTTGGAATTACGGACATTGATTTTTTTTTTAACTACTTTTTGCTGAAGTGGGGCGTAGAAGGGGCCCTGCGGTTGAGGTTTCCTTTAAAAGGGAGCCTTTTAGGGGTGCAGGTTGATTTAGAGGTTTACGATAGAGCTTATGAGCCAAGGACATTTGGGGTTTCAGTGGCAGGATTATTTTTGACCTTACAGTTTACTAGAAACGAATGTGACAAGGTGGTTAAAGATCAGAGGCCAAGAGGCCTACAAATATAGAATGGTTATAAACGAGCCTAGAAGAGAATCGAGCCAGGTTTTTGAAGGTTTTCAGCCCTGTGTTTGATTGATTCCTGAGTTTTATGTTTAAAACCACACTTAACTGGTTTATAAAATAGCAGCATTTTTCCTAGAGACAGGTTTTCTTCCCAATATGAAAAGGATAATTGGAGGTTGAGAGATAGCACATTTGGGGGTTATAGTCCTATTAATGCAAGGATATAAATTAGACTTATGAGTGGTTACTTCCCTGGGGATTTTGTTGGAAAAGCAGATGTAGATTTTTTAATGGCTCGCAGGTAGATGAAGAGTTATTTTCTGGAACTTTAGGCTGCGGAGTGGGGACTTTATGACTTTTCTTAGGTGGTATTAAAGGCTTTAGCAGAGTGTGATGAATTTATGAGTTAATTTCCACTATCTTAATTGCCCTTAGGGTAGACAGAATGACCAAAAATGGTCCCTTCCAGGATGGGCCTAGAGAGGGAGAGTTTGAGGGGATAGAATTAAAAGCCCCAAGTTTCCAGGGCAGGAGAGAAATACTGAGAAGGCCATGCAGTGTTTAGGAGAAGATTAACTTCCTGGACGTTTATGGTTAACTTTACCTGGGGCTTTGTGAGGGTGATGACTTGTGCTGGCACTTGCCCCAGGCACCCTTGGTTTTGCCATTGGGTTATTTTGTTAGACGCCTCAGGCCCTGGGAATCTTTATTCCCTGGGACAGTGTGCTTTCCAATGATTACCTTGGTACAGAGGGCAAGGATGAGATTGATTCATTTTTGGTGGACAATTTTTTATAAAATGTCCCTTTAGAGCTCACCGGTAACAAGTTTTGCCAGACTAGTGGCTAACCTGAGCCTTTTCCTTAATTGAGCCCCTAGGGTCTGCATGCCTGAACGCCATGACTAAGGCTGATTTTTTGTTTCTTTTAGCCTTTTTTTTTTTGGTTTTTATTATAAAATACTGAGGTTGCTTGGTTTAGTAATGATTCTAGACTTTGCTCTGGTCCCAACGCCAGTTTTTGGAATTTTTGCCTGATATTTGCTGCTGACTGAGTAATAAACTTGTTCTTTGGTATTAGCTGACCCTTATTGGAGTCTGGTTGACAGAGGGGTTTACTTTTTTAAAGCCTTTTGCAATTGCTTAATGAAAGCCGTTGAGTTTTTTTTCCCTTTCCTTTAGGGGCTAGATTTTTTACTTGGCAGAGGGTAATTTGGCCAGAGAAATATAAGCCACTTTTTCCTTAAAGACTGTGTGCTAAATTCATTTTAATTTTCCAGTATACATTTTAATGGGGAGTTGAGCTTGGGAATAGAAGTACCCATTTGAAATTGAACACAAGGGATGCCCACATCCCCGGTTAAAGAAATTATAGCCGCTTTGACCTGAGGCGTTCCCCAGGTAAAATGGGTACTGAAATGAAGTGTTTTTCAGTTAGTACCCCGACATTTTGTGTGCTCGAGATTCGTGATTTATTTTACTAGAGGACTTTCCATGTACTGGATTTGAATTACTACCTACCAGCGTTATGGAACCCCCTTGCTGTTTGCTTGACTTTTAATGACCACCATAGAGGCATGAAGGGGCTGTTGGGTTGAATAGTTTATACCAATGAGTTTTTTAACCAGGTCAGTGAGGCTTAGGAGATGGGTACTAATATTTTTTAGCAAAGGTTCAATTTACACAGGCCAATTTATAAAACTGCCCCAGAAGGGTGAACTTTTAGGGAGGGGCTATTAGAGCACACAGTTTAAAGAAGGTAGGCTGGACATGGCTGAGGCCAGAACAATATTTTTAGGACCTGGGCCTTCTTTCCCCTGACCCATTTTTCATTGTAGGAAACTACCTTTAGGGATGCGAGAGCTGCCGTGAACTATTTGAGCCCTGGAACCAGTTTAACTATGATTTTTTAGATGAAAAAGTTTTGCCACAGAGAGAGCCAATTTTAAGCAAATCAAATTATACACTAAACACAAAGTTCCATAGCCTTTAGCTTTTAAATTTTCCCAAACTAAGACTGACTTTACCATGGATTTGACAAGCAACCTTGCAGTTTCAGACCCTACACCTTAACCAACTGTGCACACAGGCCACCTGCATTTGGGTGAGGCAAAAAGCTTTTTTAAGCTGTATTTTGAATGAGAATGCTGCACCCTGAGGCATTGTGGTCTGCCTAAAAGCTAGGCGGGGCTGACAGCAGCTGCTTTTTTTTTTTTTTAGCCTGCGCACCCAGAAAAAAAAAAAAAAAAAAACCGCTTGTTGCTTTGAGTTTAAAAGCCGAGTTTGCAGCCACTGCTGGGCCGGCCATGAGTTTCCCTGCCTTCGTGGCTTTTGGTTGCCATGTTGACCCCACCAGAACCAGGTGCATGCCTAGGTCACTCCCCGAGCTGCTGCCCACCCAGGGACCCATGGCCAGAGGGCGAACACCCTGGGGGAAGTTTCCTTGTGTAGTTCCTGACTGCGGTTTTTAACAGCCGGGTTTTTTGCGGTTTTATGCTGCCACCCCCTTTTGCCACTAAGCTTTTTTAAGCACTGCCACTCTGCTTAGAGCCTCCAAACCTGGCCGAGCCTGGCCGGAACACACCTTGCCTTACCCTGCAGCTTTTTTCCCTGCCCGGCTGTGACTTGCTGCCGGGCTGGATTGTGGGTGGTTCCGGTTCCTGTTCCCGTCTGGCCAGGAGCAAAAGGGAAGGGTGCTTACCCTTTCCACCCCACAGGTTTCTGCAGGTTTTGGTTCCAGAAATAATTTCGGAGGGCTAGAGAAGGAAAGAGAAAGCAGAGCAAGAGCTTGGAGGTAAGAAAAAAACTGCGCTTTTAATTTTGGGGCTGTGCCGCTTAAAACGGGCTGGGTTGTGCCTCTGAGGTGCCTCTGCTCAGGTTTCCCCACAGCCCTGCCTGGCTGTGGCCACTTCAGGTGTTCTTAAAGAGACAGGACAGAATGGGGCTGGTTTTACAATTTTGAAGTCTTCTTCTCCGGCTGTACCCCTTTCCTGTTTGTACCCCTTTCTTGGCTGTACTACCCATCTCTTTGCTGTACCCCTCTCCCGACTGGCTCACCAAAATGTAATATTGGGGTTTAGGATGCCCCTAGCTTCCCTGAGAAGATGTTTCTCCAGGTTCTTGGTTTTCTGCCCTCTCAATAATGAGGGGACCACGGTGCAGAGCACAGTAAATGCCAGACTTAAAAGGGTTGGTAGAAAGTGATTTGTTGAGAGAGAGAGAGAGAAACAGGAGAAGGAGAGAGAAAGAAACAGCTAACTCATACTGAGGGAATCCAGAAAGATGGAATACAGGAGAGGAAAGCAGCTTCCACACTGAGTGGAAGGGAATAGAGAAAGAGATGGAGTTTAGGAGGGGAAGACAGGCTTCCACGAGAGAGTGTGGAAGGGGACTCCAGAGGGAAAATTCAGGATCCAAAAAAACAGCTTCCACAAGAGTGTGTGTGGAAGGGGATTTAAACAGGGATTCCAAAAGTGTGTGGAAAAGGGAACTTTTAACCTGGGAGGAAACCCCACCTTCTTTAAGACCCCAGGCCAATGAAAGGAGTTTCTTAGAACTTTCACTGGAGTGATTGACTTTTTGTTTCTTCCCGTGTCCGCAAAATTTAAACATAAACTGTTAAATTTCCTGGATGGAGAGAGATGGGATGGGGGCTTGGTGCTGGGAAGTTCTTGCCCTTAAAACTACACCCTCTTGTAAACCAGGGAAAAAATACATTCTTTCAATACTAGGAGTTTAAGAGCATATGCTAGAACATTTGTATATAACACACTTATGATGGATAACTTTAAATATCATATAATGCATGCTCTAATTTCATTTGATAGAGATAGCATAGTAAATATAGCAAAATAAAATCTTAAAGTAGCCAAAGGGTCTAATAGTAGTGGGCAATAGTACTCTATGTAACTTTGTGCAACCACATTAAATCCCAGGGTTAAAATACCTCAGGCTGAAAATTAATTTTCTTAATGAATGTAGCCTCCCTATTTACTCTTTGCTGTGGTCCCTGTAGTTTGATCTCACACTGACCCTCCTCATTATTAAATGCAGATGCATCCATAGAGGAAAATAGGCAACAAAATTTCTCCAAGAGGGCATAACCAGTGCCCACGAATTTCCATGGAAGAGGATTCTTTCAGAAAACCCAGGAAAAGACTCAATTCTTATGGCAGTTAGTCTTTATTATCCCTGTTCAAGAAAATGTGTGCCATGAATCAGTGATTACCTTATGTTTCCCTTTCTCTACTGTCCAGATGGAGGGCTTTTGTAGTAGTTAGTCTCTAAGTTCTTGACAGCTGTACGTACTTGGCTCTTAAGGGAACATCACTTGTCTTTCGAGTGTGGTTCAGCATGTCTTGAACTCCTGACCTCAGGTGATCTGCCCACCTCGGCCTTCCAAAGTGCTGGGATTACAGGTGTGAGCCACCAGGCCCAGCCCCGTTCAGCATGTCAAAAAAAAAAAAAAAAAAAAATCTGCACCTGGCTCTGTTTTAAAGACTTTAATATAATCTAAAGATTCTGAACATTGAGCTTAATGCAGTAATCCACTCCAAGTTTGGAGTTAGTGAAGTGGTTGAGTAAATAGAGAAATGTATGCTAGCATTTGTAGAAGTGTATGTGTAATACAAGCACTCAGATTAAATATTGGATATCAACGAGCAGAATGAAGCAGAAACTGTTATTACCTACCAAATGTTTATTCCTTTCATCATCCTTAACAGTATCCTAATTTGTTTGTCAATTGGCATTGGTCCATTTCAAAATAAAAGATGTGATTGTTTTAAGACAAAACTACATGATAATTTAGTAAAGGATAAATGTAGTGAATAAGAAGGTAAATTGGTCAAAAATTGTGCTATGGCAATTGAAAGAAGGGATTAAGTTTTGCTCGTTAAAGAATAATGAACATTGTATGCACTTTTTAGATTAACTGCTACATTCAAGTCTCAGGTTTTCTACTGGCAAGTTTTATATTCGTAGGTCCTCTTGGGGCTTTCATTTATTAATTTTTAAAAGTTAAAAATAATATTATGTATTACCTGTGTTGCCATAAAATTAAATGAAATGGTAGACATAAAAATCCAACACAGTATTGCTTAATATAACTATATTAGATTTTTTTCCTTTCTCAATTATCCATTCGTCTCATGATATGTCATGTCACTTGTTATCATTCTTATAAAAGACACTCATAAGTGCTTGTTCACTGAATGAATAAATGAGTGCATGAATGAAGTTAGTATGAGAACAGGTTTCCTCTGAAGTTAAAGAAGAACAGAAAATATATGAGGAATGCATGAACTTAGAGAGGAGAACTGATTATTTTCCAGGTGTAGAAAAGATAATGGCATCCTCCATTCTCACAGGAATCTAGTACTACAAATTCCTAAATACTTTTTATTATTTTATTCAAGAAATATTTATTGAGCGCTTACTGTGTTCCACAAACTACTGAGTACAGTGGAAACAAAGCAGTGACAAGAGCAGACAAATGTATCTACCTGCACAAAGCTTGCATTTTAATTGGTGAATACAAATGTTAAACAACTTTTAAAATTTCAGATACAGTGTTATATATGGTAGTAGGTGCCATGAAAAAAAAATAAAGCTTAGAAGGAGGCAAAAAGTGGGACAAAGATTGCCATTTTATGTAGCAAAACCAGGGGAGGCTTTACTGGAAAGATGACATTGGAAAAGGTATCTTTTTTTTTTTTTTTTTCCCAGGCTGGGGTACAATGGCACAATCTTGGCTCACTGTAACCTCTGCCTCCCATGTTCAAGTGATTCTCCTGCCTCAACCTCCTGAGTAGCTGGGGTTACAGGCTCATGACCCCATGCCCGTCTATTTTTGTATTTTTGGTATAGATGGGGTTTCATCATGTTGGCTACACCCCTCTTGACCTCCTGATGTCAAGTGATCCGCCCACCTTGGCCTTCCACAGTGCTGGGATTATAGGCATGAACCACCAGTCCTGGCCAGAAAAGGTATCTTAAGTGAGAAATGATATACACGACTATTTTGGGGAAAGTATCCAAAATAGAGAAAAGCACTAGTAAAAAAAGGACTGAGCTAAGAGTATAACTGGTGTGTGTTTGAGGCACATATGAAAGCTAATATGGATAGAGTGACTGAGCAAGGAGAATACATGTTAGTAAAGAGATATGGGGGGAAATAAAGGTGATAATAAGATCTTGTTGCCATTTGTAGTCCATGTTTTAAATATTGACTTTTATTTAAAGTTTTAAATATAGTAGCGACTTGATCTTAGAAGTACTTTTGAAGAATTACTCCCAGTGCTCTATTGAGAACTGATTAAAGTGAAGCAAGGGTAGAGCAAAGGATGAGAACTGAAACCTACATAATTTCTTATTTGTGTGTTTAATAATTCTGAGAGAAAGAATAAGTTATTTTGGCCTGTGTGTTAAACAATATTGAGGTTAGGCAAATTATCTTAGCTTTTTGTTCCAGGAAATACCTGTTGTTGTAAATAAGTCTGTGAACTAAGAGTATAGCTTACCTAACTACTTAATCATCTGTACTCACTACAATACTCCTGCCTTGCTGTGTCCACCAACATAAAGCTTGTAAATTCTAAACTTTATCCAATATCAACTAGTTTACCACTTAGAAAGGTCTGTCCTAATATTACAAAGCTAAGGCCTTTAGGCTAAGTTAATATCATCTGATACTTCCCCCTTTTGAAACATATTACTAAGCCTGTCAATGTGATATTCTCTCTTATTGCAATAAATCTAATAAACCTATTTTACTTGATCAATAGGCTTTTTTGGTAGTCTTTTGTGGAGTTGTTGACCAACAGGAAACTAGCTAAGAAGCTGTTGCATTAATATAGGTAAGAGGTAAAGCAATGATTTATAGGCTGGGTGCAGTGGCTCACACCTGTAATCCTAGCAGTGTGGGAGGCCAAGGCAGGTGGCTCACCTGAGGTCCGGAGTTTGAGACCAGCCTGACCAACATGGAGAAACCCCATCTCTACTAAAATTACAAAACTAGCCAGGAGTAGTGGTGCATGCCTGTAATCCCAGCTACTCAGGAGGCTGAGGCAGGAGAATCACTTGAATCTGGGAGGCAGAGGTTGCGGTGAGCCAAGATCATGCCATTGCACTCCAGCCTGGGCAACAAGAGTCAAATTGTCTCAAAACAAACAAACAATGATTTATGTGTGAGTATAATAGCGAAGATTCTGAAAAGTGTTTGGATTCTGAAAATATTTTGAAATAATAACTAATAATTTTCAGGCAGATTGGATGAAGAATGAGAGAGAAGTCCCCCAAAATTGAAGTTGTTAGCCTAAACAGCAGGAAGTTATTGTTACCATCCATTTCAAAATGAGGCACTATTTAAAGTCATGGGGCTAGATGACATCACCAAAGAAGAGAATGTAAATATAACAGAGAAATGTCCAAGAATAAACTCCAAGATACAACATTGCTTTCAGGTCAAGAAAATGAAGAAAAATCAGAAGAGGGGACTGAGAAGGAGTAGCAATGAGAAGAGAAAAACCAGGAGAATTAGGTGTCCTGCAAGTCAAATATGTGTACTCCAATGTAAATGTCATTGCTTCTTGGTCTTTCTAATTGCCGTATCAAGATTCAGCTTTCTGAGGGATGCTAAAGCAGTTCCTACACATACATTCACCTTCTGGCTTCCAGCGTAACTCTCTGCTTTTCTTTTCATTATTGTGAATTTGTGTTTAAAAACCTGAATTTATAGTCCCTTTATGACTTTTTTTGTTTCTTTGCCTTCTGTATAAACATGCTAACCTACAT